AAGTAAACATTCGTTGGCGTGATTTCACGACCAAACAGATTGACTGTTATTTATCACAGAAACCGGCATGGCCTCACTGCACTTCCTCGCCACTAGCATACGTTCAGTTTCTTCACGCAAATTGTCAGCATCTCTCGCCGTCGTACTGCAGTTATTTAATTTTGAGAACAAAACGACGAACGTCTGACATTGTCTTTGTTTCATCAACATCGAAGAATGTTTCGCCGCCATTGATTTGAACACCCACGGTGAACTAATACTGCGGTTGGTCCAACCAAGTTGGACTGTGTGGAAATTCTTGATAACCCGGATGTGGAGCTCCATTGGGTAAATCTGATACAGCACCCGCCATGACCCGCATGGCATCCCCCACACCCTGACTGCTGGCACTAATCATTCCCGGCATGCCACCCGGTCCTTCCACAAACGCCATAGAAGGTACAATACGCTGGTGACTGCTGGGTAAATTCGGTGAGTGCGTTATGGGGTAACCGTCGTTACTTTGCATATAATGATTGTCCATGTAGCTACCGCCGTTTGGATGGTGTGGAATTGGCGAAGGTTCCTGTTCCAAGCCGCTGTCGTACATGGTAGAGTTGTTATTATTTGTTCCGATACTCATTTCGTCTGTTGAGAAGAAGCAAGGAATAAAATAATTAAAATAAAAAATCGTAGATATTTCAGAACAAGTGTGTCTAGAAGATTGATAACACAAAAACGTATTTCCGTTATCTTTGAATTGCAAGCTAGTTTAATGATTGACAGGCAACTCGGTGAAGAGAACGTCAATCGTGGTTTCTAATTTAGTCGATACAGCGTTGTACAGCATCGCGATTAAAAACACTACCCGCCGCGATGCCCATATTTTAACTGGCGCAGTGGGGTCGACAGAAAGGTCAGTTAATCTCAACTCTAGTTGTTCGCGACAATTGTATAACTGTTGCAGCACAGTGTATAGTACGGAAATTGGGATGGGTTTGACAGTTTAACAGTTAAAATTTAATTTAATCGGACCATCCTGGATGTTGTACTCGTAATTGTACCGTGAATTGGTGACCGTTTTCCGCGACACAAAGAGAATGCGAGTTCCGATGCTCAATTGAACCCCAATTTAAATCAGGATGTATGAATGATAATCCAGTAAAAAGAAGGATAAGTCGGATTATACTTTTAATCAAGATGAGTTTTCGGATTATTATCCCATTCTTATTAACAACTCACATTCATGGGTATTTATTGCTTTCATCCGTCTCTTTGGACAATGTATTATTTTAGTAAACTGCAAAGAAATTAATTATATGGCTGTCTACATTGCCAAATCCAGTAGGTATTTCACAAATCACACGAATGGAATGCCACTTATTACTTCTGAGTATTGTACCGCATTTTTTTATACTCAAAGCCGATTGTTGAAAGTCATGAGGAAATTATTGAAAAGGACGGCGACAACACTAGTGAACAAAATATAATCAATTTCTCGATAAGTTTATTCCGTTTATCCCATGCGTTCTTCAAAGTGCCCGTGTCTAATCTCGTGAAATTGTTTGTCAATCCGCTTAAACCGATGATCTGGGTCGATTATCGCTGAGACTGATCCACTAACGTTCAATCGGCCCGTCACATTTACAAAAACTGTAATCAGAACAATTCGGTTTATCCTGTAAACCAACGGCCACTCGTTGAATCCTACACGAATACGTAATGGATGTATACCGTTCCAAATAAACTGTCATATCAAGCCGAGTGAATCGCGATTCTGAAGTTGTGCGTTTACTCACGGTGAACTCGAAAAGGCATTTGCAGTTCAAGTTTAACAAATTAAGTCACGGTCACGGTTATTTGGCTTCGTTTTGACTGGACATGCTAAGTACTTTTTACTCGGGAAAAAAACCAGTTGTTATCCAGAAACAAACATAAAAAAAATATTTTTAACAAACGAACACGATTTTCGAAAACAACTGTGTCCCATATATGTAAACCATGTTTAACGTTTTTGTGTGTTTGTATCATTAGTTTGGATAAAATTCAGGCTAAAATTATACTGGCGACTAATCTTGAAATATATTGTATTTGGTTTTTTTAATATATAACAGTTGTTAAAGTCGTAAAAAAGTTGATACGTTGAAATCAAATATATAAATAAAATTAAAATAAAACGGGTTTAGAAATAAAAAAAATGAAAACACGATAATTGGGTATTTTCCCTTAAGCACACATTTTTGTATCATACACGTAAATAATGAGATTTTTCAATAATACAAATTTCTTACACAAACTATGTAGCGTTTTTATCTAATTATCATATAATTATGTTATTTTGACACAAAAATACAATGTTTTAGAAGAAAATGCACTGATGTGTGTTTTCTGTTTTTTGACGTACGTCATGATAAAAAATAAAACGCCATATTAGATTTGCATAGGTAGGTGCGTTCGGAGACGATGAATTCATTCAATTGAATATGAGATAAAATAAAATAAAATAAAAAGTTTCTACAAATGCATGATGATATACGTGGTAATATTTTACTGGCGGCGTTGAAGCACAAGTACTAATTACACTCACCTTCGTATCCGTCTTTGTCCTTCGTTGATTCGGGCGACAGCGTCTCGTGCGGACTGCCTTCTCGTGTTCTCTTAACTCCACGAAAATACTGACTCCATCGCTGGCGGTTGGCGTCCTTTTTTAAGCGTTTTTCTTTCGCGCGACGATTTTGAAACCAGACCTATCAAGAAAAAAACAAGGACAATATTTGTAAGGTTGTTCTGGTCGTTACCTTCGCGACAAACGCATGATGCAGTAAATCCGTTTGGAAAATGATACCTTCCGTGTGATTGTATACGTAGAATGGTTTGTCATCCTCGCTCGTTCGACGCCGGCCCAACTTTCCATGCGTCGGGAAAACATTTGAAAAAGCTTTCATCCTTACTATGTCCGGTGTATCCAGAAACACCCGCCCTCTCTTCCTTCTGTCCTCTCTCTCTCTCTTTTATCAACTACACCGATCATTTACTAAACTATTTCCGGTAAGATTTCCGACAAAAGTGTCCGTCAATTCATCACCGCGTTAAATAATAAATTGATCAGCAATCAATGATTGAGTACCACCTACCTGAACCACGCGCATATCGAGTCCGGTTTCGCTTGATAACTGCTCTCTCACGTGTCTGGCTGGTTTGGGGCTATTAGCATACGCAGTCTTCAATGTTTCTAATTGCTTGGCACTAATCGTCGTTCTCGGTCGTTTATTGGACGCGTCCATTTCTAAATCTGCAATAAAAAACACACACTTATATATAAATATATATATACATCTGAAGAATCTGTCTTTGTGCTTAGTAATGTATCGGCATATAATCATCAATTAAGAAATGTCATAGTCTTGTCAGAAATAAATTATTCCCTAACTGGAGATTATTCACGGGTATGAATACTGTAATTACACGATCTCCGTCTTCCCCCAACTAACTCAAATTGAAGGTTTCTTTTGAATGAAAGTGATCGAAACGGGGATGCACCTGGGACGTGTCACGTGCACGTACATCTCCACACATCATTAATACAAAGTTCTTGTCAATACCTTTTTCGACTGCGGTGTCAACTTCCGGCGCCGAAGCCTATTTACAGACTACTGTCTGAAACTATACTCGGCTAGATATACCGCATGTAGGATGTAAATTTTGTGTAAAATTGTCATTATTATCCTCGTATTATCGTTTTTTTCTGCCAACAATTATGGCGAATTGGTAAAACCACAGCTTGCACATGGGTACTTTTTTGAACTGTCAATATTTATATTGGTGTCCCACAATGCATCACAACAAAACGAAGCTTTGATTCGTTCTCTTCTTGATAGTAACCGCACTTTCTGACATTATATGAATGTAAAAACGTTTTTGAAGGAAAAAAAACAAAAATGCACCAACAACTCACCGGAATCTGTTCCTCCTCGAACTTTAGCGGCTTCGTAGTCTCCTTTGCAAACTAGTTTGTTGTCGTTCATAAGGTAGAATTCGTCGCCTGTAGCTAGCTGCCTATTGCACATAACACAAGCAAAGCACTGTAGATGGTAAACGTTGTCCTGTGCCCGCCTAACAACTTGCGTCGGTGGGATTCCCTGATCGCACGCTGAACACTTCGTCCCAAAACGTCTGCCAAAGAAAGTTAGCGCACAATTAGTCACAGAAATGCACGTTCTCTTGATTACGACCGATTTTTATTATTATTATTGCGATTGGTAGAACAATTAACCTACTGGAACGTATTCCGGCAACTCCTTAGGAATGAACAAATTGCTAGGTTTATGTTTTACGGTGTAAGTGTACCGTTACATCGACTGATTCTAATAGTAAATGCTGCGTTCCCAAATGATAGATGGACGACAAACGAGTGCGGATTGAAAATCCATTTCGACGACTGTGATCTGGCTTTGTGACGGCTTGACATTCAAGCACTTCAGCATTAGAAACAGAATCGCTAAATTCCTGCAAATGTACGGTAATTGGAGAGGACAGATAGAACAAATCCGGGAAGATTTCCTTAATGTCTTGACGAAATAGTAAGCTAGAAAAACGGGATTATATAGTGATAGGCTAGCGTGTGGAACACATGAGAGAGGGATCTCGGAGAGACTCGGCGCGGTAAGAGACGTAAGCTTAATGGATATTAGAAGAAGCACCAATCGTAATATGCGCATTTTGACGTAATCCCCAGATTCACGGTAACCTTTGACCTGCAATCATAGTAATTTACCGCAGGGGTAATCTCTAGAAAAAAACTCCTCGTGACCTTTGACATGCTGGTGCTATAGATATTCAGGTAGATTATTCGATATTTATCCTAGCAGTAAAAACAATAGTCTCAATATCACATACACAAATTTGTACGTATACGATGACTTGTTATTCTTGTAGAATGTGCCTTTTGTTTCACTAGCTTATTAAAGATGAAAACACGAGTAGTTGTCATAGTAATACCACCTCTTATTCATATACATACATCCGAGAATTTGGGAATTAAATATTTTCCCACGTTACTGCCCATTAATGGTTATTTAATGCTCAAGCGCAACCCCTTTATTTCCAGTAGTTTAACACGCCCTTAAATGTCGGTAGTTCTGATACTCGGCCCGCCATGGGAAATCGTCCCCCATATGTTGCTCAAATTGGTCCTAATCTTCGCGCTGCACGGTGCTTCTTGGCGGATTCAGCCAGCGTAACGGTAGATAAATGGAAGTCTTAGCCCCAGATATTGACCGTAATCCACTCAGCTATAACACACCGAGAATAGCGAATATAATATTACAGGAAAGACATATGAGGATTATATAAAGCCAGGGCGGCAATTATCCACGTTTTTAATCGTAGGGACCATCCCGGATACCGGCACAAAGAGGATTTTAAAAACTGACATGTGATCACTATAAAAACGTGGCTGTATCGTATTAGCATTAGTGTCATTATTAGTACCATCGACTCCGCGATTTTGATGATGGGCGCGATGTTACTGTTTTGTACGTGAATGATATGTATAGGGAACTCGCTCTGTTGCTCAGGAGTCCACGCAACGCTGATGTGACAATACAGGCCGTGTTTCTTTTGATGTTTCTAACGACATCGGACGGTTATGTAATATATTACATAGCAATAAGGTTTCGAAGTAATGTACCCCTTGATTGACATCTCGGAATCTTTTTAACAGGTTGTTAAAGTAGTTCCAATTTTTTATTTTATTTTATTTCATTTTATAACAAGTCACGTCTCTCAATTACGGCGGTTGGTGCCTTGGGTTACTGCAATAATTTGCATATTTTTTGCATAAATCATTGGGTTACTGACTAGTATGCCCATATTTGGAGTGGTTATCACGAGGTACACTGAGGATATCCTGTGACACGATTTTAACTTTCAGATTGTGCGGTGGGTTACAGTGTCGACCTGTTTCTGCCTAACCTCTGAGAAAGATTTGTAAAGAACAGTGAAATATCTCGCATTCATGTTTGATTAATATCTTTATATTTACCCCATAACCAATGGTCTTTGAGTCGATAATACCAAAAAAATCTACTTATTTTGTTGCAAAGTTTGGATTCTTAAACTGCAAATGGGGATTGTGACGTCATATCGGTAATTCTTTCGGATTGCAGGGAAAGTAAAGTACTACCGATAAGAACATCTCAGCCCACTCACTCACTATCCCACTCGCTCTCTAACTCTGACGGTGTCAGTCGATTGGTCTGTAGATATTCTCCCCGGGCTGGATTACTATAAAACGCTCATGCATCCTTCAAAACATATCTCAATATTGCCGGTGCCATTTAATTGCTTTACTAAACACGGCGGCTGGTTTTGATATAGCACACACACATTACTCCCCCAGTCATCTCCATCTTAGCAGTTTCAATTTCAAGGGGCAGAACGCGGCGTGATGAGAGCGTTTGTTAACGTGTTTAAACTAGGCTTGTGTATGGTGGTTTGGAAAGATTAATCGCAAACACCTCGATGAGCTATGCGTCCTTTAATTGATTAGATTTTAAAAGTCGCGTGTTTCAAGTAATGAAATGGTGCGTACGTCTATATCCTGCGTGGAATGGGGGGGGGGGGCACAGCTGCTAACGTATAAAATGATTTCTTTAGATGGGTGCTCAAGGGTTTCGGGCGCATTTGATCCCTTCCAGGTCTTAATTTTGATATTCTTTTTTTAATTATTAGATGGTTTGAGGTCGCATGATACGTGAGCATGTGCCAATCTTTGACTTGATGTACCAAACAAACCAATTCAGAACAATGTGTCAGGAATTACTTTGAAGTGTCAATAAATGAACTAATTAACACAAAATTGTATTTCAGGAACGAGTCACGTTTATCGGGTTCGGATCAATAGAGAATACACATGCTAGGGCGCGGATACGTGTTTCGCAAATAAAAAGAACGGGGGAGTATCAATTTGTAAAAACAAAATATCTGAAATGCCACAATTTGGAGTAAACAAGTGAATAAATATGTTCTTTAGCTGAGTAATGTGATCGATCTAGACTAATGGATTAATTAAATTAATATATTAACTTCGTCGATCTAATCACTCATTGTTTATACCGGTGACGGCAGCATCATGGAATAAATTGAAAAAAGTCTAATATTGTTTCTCATCCGGCACATGTCCCTCCCAAAATGTGAATTCAAGACGCGTTTTTCAAATATTCTATAAATGTATTGCTTCGCATGTGACACGATATTTAAACTACACAATTGCGTCGGTATATTTTGTTTTTAAACTATAATCGAAACCTGAGAACAACAGTGCACTGCACTAACGAACCGTCCACCCGAAATCGGCATCAATCGTAATCGCATCTACATCCCGGCAACGCACGTGCGGAAGACAAAGATAGACTTTCGTAAGAATAACGCGATTAAGTAAGGCACATTGAATTGTGTGCATCTAGTCGATTTCATTCTCACGACCGACACTGACGCGATTAGCGAGTTGCGTAAGTCCGGGGGTTCGTCACAAATCCCGTCTTTTGAGATGCTCGCTTCTACCGATTTCCTCTCTTAATCCTTGTGCGATTCACAGATCGTCCAACGTTCAGGCATAAATTAATATGCATCTTCTTTATTCTCTACATAGCTTCATGAATTATGGTTGCACTGCTAGTATCGTAAAATATTACCACAGCGGTTTAATTATTTAAAATTAATGATAAAAGTTTGTAATAATAAACGATATATTTCTCGGTTCAAATTTAATGTCATATATTTAGAATACCTCCTCAATCAAGTGTGACCGAAACATATTCAAAATGAAAGGAGTGCATCGTAACGTTTTCACGGCAAACTAAATTGGAGAAACCTGCATAAAAAATAGAACGTTCAACACGCTATTAAAAAATGGTTTTACGGTACTCACTTGAAGAAATCTTCTTTGCAGTAAACCTGTCCTCCTCTGGAGTAGCATTTATCGCTGAGCTGGGCCTGGCAGTCGGTACATTTGAGACATTTGGAATGCCATGCGCGATCTTGTACTTTGAGGATAAAACGATCCAGTATCGGATGCTCACAACCAGAACACTTCGGAATTTGAGCTGCGATGGAGAGATGGAATTCAAAATTCATAAATTATAAAACAAATCAATAACCGCTAAAAAAATCGGGGAAAAAAAGTAAGAGGATAATTTTCTTACAAGATTTGCACGAGTTAATCTCATTATGGGCTGACGCGAAGCTGATGGTTCTTTCCATGGCTGACATCGACAATACTAAACTGGTCATTCTAAACGCTAAATACGTAGGATGCACGCACAGTGCGTACAGTTACTGTGAAAAGTAGATGTACACAATACCGAGGATCTTGACCCGAATAAAAGAGCCACTGTCAGCCACTACTTTCTTATTTGACTGCAGGGGATGCGCTATGAACAGTTAGCTAGTGACAGCCAACGACACAGAACTGAATAAAAATCTCCCCCAACTGTCAATTCACATCAGTCTACCGGATTGGATAATCCCTGTCATGCATAATCATGTCGTGAAGGGCGTGGTTCTTTGACATCTACCAATCAAAGGCGCTCTATCATTTGCGTCTGTTTTGCAATTCAAAAGCCTCGGTAAGGGAGCGCTTGTTGTTGCGAATATTTAGTGCGCCGCCTATTTTCAACTGTATTTTAAAGATGCCGTATACCTTTAAATGGACTGTAAACAAATGCGTCGCATTTTTCTTTTGTGGTACATACAAAAAAGACTCGGAAAAAATATGTCACTTTTGTGTCAGGTTTTCGCCAATACGTTGTATTTTTTAAAGTAAAGGCATCATCATGATCGTCACCTCATTTTGAAAAGAGTCGGTTGTTCATTGTAATCACCATAATTTCCATTTCACATGAAAATGAAAACGGACAAAAAATGCGGTATCATCATTTAATGTTGTCATCATATCAACGTTACAGCCATCATCATTATGATCATCATCATCATCACCATGGTTGCCAACACTGTTTTTCGAACAACATCTGTCTGCAACTTGGCGTCCAGAATAATCCCATTATTTGGCATATTGAGAGAATGGTCCGTAATAATGAGTGAATCCTCAAAAAGAACCCCCTCCGTTTCTACGGCTTTCCCCGCAAAGTGTTTTACATACGGTTGTATATATATACATATAGAATTAAGGTAGAACTTATACTACCCCAACGTATAAAATAATATTCTTTATTTTTTTTTTCAAATGTGAAATATCTTCAAGTTGTTAAATTTGAGGTTACCATATACTCGATTTCGTCGGAGAAAACCGATGTACAAAATGAAGTGGAATTAACAAGTTGTGTCTGTTTCAGGGCATTTTAGCATTGTTTCCTGCTGC